TATTAATTTTTTTTATTTACTTACCACTTGCAGTACAATTGAAACCATCTTTCATACACAAATATACTTATCATACATGGAAAATACACTTATTAATGATTTAAAATATAAGAATAATATATTATGAGTATATACTAAATGATAAATGTATTTATAATGTATTTCCCACATATTTTTATAGATTAAATAATTCATTTCAAATGTGTTGTATACTTAACTACATGTTTATGGTGTCTTTAAATAGTACAGCCGAGTTATTTATTACTATGTCATTAGTAGCACTTTTTCCACATTAAAAATATAGCACTTCAAGTACTTTATGCTAAAGTGTGAGAGTGTGAGTGTGAGTGTGAGAGTGTGTGTGAGTGAGTGAGTGTGTGTGAGTGTGTGTGTGTGTGTGTGTGTGTGTGTGTGACCAAATGTCTCCACAAGGATAGTAAAGCTTGAAATTTTTTGACATTGTGAGTCCGGCCTGCGGTCCCCACGAGGGAAAAAATAATTAAAAATAGTAAATGATGTTTATCTGAAAGTGTAAGAATGCAAACAGGTTTTCTGTAAGAGGTAGGTTCAGGGTTAGGGGATAGAAAATATCGTTTGATCAGTATAAAAGTAATAGAAGTCTATGGAAAGTTCCCACAATTCACAGAAGCAAACGTGTGTGTGTGTGTCTCCAGGTCACGGAGTGTTCTGCATCGATCTGAAGACGTGGAGTGGCTCTGTTTCGGTCGCGAGTGAGGCTCAGGTCAGAGCGGAGCAGCAGAACTTCACCAGCGTCTCCATCGAGCTTGAAATTTTTTGACATTGTGAGTCCGGCCTGCGGTCCCCACGAGGGAAAAAATAATTAAAAATAGTAAATGATGTTTATCTGAAAGTGTAAGAATGCAAACAGGTTTTCTGTAAGAGGTAGGTTCAGGGTTAGGGGATAGAAAATATCGTTTGATCAGTATAAAAGTAATAGAAGTCTATGGAAAGTTCCCACAATTCACAGAAGCAAACGTGTGTGTGTGTGTCTCCAGGTCACGGAGTGTTCTGCATCGATCTGAAGACGTGGAGTGGCTCTGTTTCGGTCGCGAGTGAGGCTCAGGTCAGAGCGGAGCAGCAGAACTTCACCAGCGTCTCCATCGAGCAGCTGCCCGACGCTCTTCAGGCCATTACAGTGAGCAGATTCAAAACATCACTCAAATCTCAACTAATATCATCTATCAATTAAACATGGTGACAATACGGTTTTGTACGAATGAAAATTAACCATGGTTTTATTATAGTAAAAGTGTAGTAACCATGTTTTTTGTTTGTTTATTTTTGCATATTGATTACCCTTTGTATAACCACAGTTATACATACCATGGTTAAACTATGGTTAGTGTTTTTAATTTACCATGGTTTAACTATAGCATTAACTATGCATTAATGCTATTATCTATCTATCTATCTATCTATCTATCATAGAAACACTATAGCATCCATCCAGACTAACCTAGCCACCACCCCAAGTACCCTAGCAACTACATAGCAACACCCTAGCAACTACCCTGGATACCCTAGCAACCACATAGCAACACCCTAGCAACCACATAGCAACACCTTAGCAACCACATAGCAACACCCTAGCAACCACATAGCAACACCTTAGCAACTACCCTGGGTACCCTAGCAACCGCATAGCAACACCCTAGCAACCACCTTGGGTAGCCTATCAACCGCATAGCAACAAATTAGCAATCACCCTGAGTACCCTAGCAACTGCATAGCAACACCCTAGCAACCACCTTGGGTAGCCTATCAACCGCATAGCAACACCTTAGCAACCACCCCGAGTACCTTAGCAACAGCATAGCAACACCCTAGCAACCACCCAGAAGACCCTAGCAACCGCCCTAGCAACCACCCCTGGTACCCTAGCAACCGCATAGCAACAAATTAGCAATGCAACCACCCCAAGTACCTTAGCAACAGCATAGCAACACCCTAGCAACCGCCTTAGCGACCACCCCGGGTACCCTACAGGGTTTCTGCAGGATTCTTAAGCTCAAATTTAAGACTTTTTAAGACCTGCACAAATAAAATTAATACCATATGAGCGGGGTAGGGCAATGTCTACGGTAAGCTATTAAACTCTAAAATTACTGTAAAAAGCATAATTTACAGTTCAGATACAAGTTTTAAAATTATAAACATTACATTTCAGCCTTTAAACCATTGTTAAGAAAATGGATGAGTCAAAAGTATTAATTATTATATTAATTTAAACAATTATTAT